CCCAGGCTGCCGGCCCCGCGCGCAGCGGGAGCGGTACCAGGCGGGGAGCGAACGGAAAGTGCCGAAGCAGGGAAGGCCTCGGTGGAACTAAGCCTACCCCTGGGAGCACAAACAGAATGCTAATCTTACTGACACAAAAACTTTGTGGATTGATTCTTATCCAAGAAGTGCCAATTCCACGTTATGCCATGGTTTAAGAGAAAAACATGACACTCAAAACTTTGCACTGTTTAAATGTTATTTTATTAAATATCTTCAGTTCAAGGTTTCATTGTAACAAAGCTATGAAGGTTCTACCAACATTCAGACCAAACAAACAAACACTAGCTAACTTTAATTATTTCTATATCATGCAAAAATTCTGCATCAAATGCCTTCCATTTCCTGTTTAAAATGTGATATTTATAATATATATTATATAGATGCTTATATTAGCCCCATAAGAGAACATTAAGAATGCTAAAGGTGTACAGCTGTGTTTGATAATGGCCATACCAAGCTAAGGTTCTCATTAACTTAAAAGGAAACAAAACAAACAAACAAACAAAAACCCCAAGAGAGTTTGTCTCCAAGACTGTGCAAAACCAAAAACCTCAACAGTTCTGTTCTTTTAAAATTTTCTCTGAAAGATGCAGATACTTAATACAGAGGGTTTTCTTTTTAATTATTAATAATCATCAGGTAAAGAGACAAGGAAGATCAGACCTAAAGAAGGCATGCATAATATTTTGTATTTATCTTTTTTAAATGGCATAATTGTAATCTCCCATTTGCGCTCTCTTCGTGGCTTTAAAAAAAATCTGAATAAAATATCAAGGGGTTTCACTTTTCCACTTCACTCACTGGCTTAGTGCTGTCTTAAAAATGTTTCAAAATAATAAAATCTAGTGTTTGCGCCCCATGGGTTCAATCCCCACATTCCTCCCTGGGGTGGTGGAGGGAGGAAGAAAAGAGTATTTGCGCAGACAAACCTAGGAAGTGTGGATGGTCTTTTCCTTCATCAGGGGTTAGCTGATCTAATCCTGGTGTGGCATAGCACCTCTCTAACAAAGGGAGCAGAGAGCTATCTGTTGCAAAGCAACAGCTCCACTTTGTACAACAGTGTTTATTTTCTGCATTCTGTTAAATAAGGATAAAAATTCCAAATTGGCTTTCTTCTCTTCTGTAGTCCGTAAAAAGGTTGCCTCACACTTAGTATACTGTCAGTGCAATCCACTGAAAGATCCGAAAGATGATTAGGGGTAGACAGAAATTCAGATAAAAGCCCATCGCGACTTCTGCAGGCGATTCCTTCCCTTGGTCAAGACAAATCCTATCAGGTCTGCCAGAAAGGCCATTTTCTTCTTGGGGCTCAGCTCCCTCCTTGGTAAGGTCAACAACACACTTCCACATTCCCCACCCAATGAGTAAAGGAAATGGACTCCTTTGCAGTAAAGAAAACAAAGGAAAATGAATTGGCCCAAAGGACAAACATCAGATCACATGTGCTAATTCCCTTTCCCCTCTGCTTCATGAGGTATCCTCTAACACCCAGAGGCAACACAGGGAGGTGGCCTGGAGTCCTTCGGCTACGGTTTTTGAGGTTCTGATCTGATAGTTTTCTGTGTTACAACATCACTGTAAAAAATAGAAAAATTACCCAAATAAACACTAGGAAACATGACACTTACAAACATCAGATGGGTTAGTGGTGGGGAGAAGCACCTGGCTGGGGCTGCTGGCTCCCACTGCTGTTTTACTTGGAGACCAAACAGATCAAACAGGAGGCCAGGTAACCCCTTTAATTCTATGGGTGCATATATTTCAGTATAAAAAACACACGCTATTTATGCCTCATATAGGAGTGTATGTGCAAGTTTTCATGAACATAACACTAAGTTTTTTGTCTGCCTCCTAAGGAACACGTGTTCTGCAGCACTGTGGATCCCAACTATGCTACTAGAAAGGAAAAAAAAAATAGAAAATCACATACACGTACCCTCTTCCTCTAAAATCTCTGCTCTTAATGCAATGTTTTTTTTGTTTTGTTAAATTAAATAAGCTGGCTTCAAACCTCCATGTTTGGCCAGGTAGTGGCTGTTTCTAAAACCAGTATCAGTAGAGCAAGCTTCTATTTAAGTTATATTCACTTAAACCCATTTTTTTAATCCCTACTTCCACCTTTAATTTTAAATCAACATCCCATTTTGTTGTGGTTTTTTTTTCTTAAAAAAAAAAAGAAAAAAAGAAAAAAAAGTCTGTTTTAGGATCCAGCAGCCAAGCAACCAGCTTTCCATAGCGTTCTTGCTGTGCAGAAATCGAAGAAGAAACAGGCTGAAGTCAGTCTGCCAGGCAACAGGAAGAGAAGCACCTCCTTCTCTCTTGAACCCCAGTCTTCACACTGGCTCCTCTGGGATCTCCTTGCCACTTCTCACCGACTGAAGTCACAGCACAGCCTGAATGTAATGTTAACTTCCACCAGGGCTTTGCGGAGCACAGTTCAACCATCCGCTGCTCAAGCCGCTTCCTTTTTTGCTCTCTCTCTCTCTTTCTCTCTCCTTCACTTTTGCTTTCCCCCTCACTTCATTTCTGAAAGATGTTCCAGCTGCTGCCATTTTCTTAGCCCTGGGGGAGGGGGCATGTTGGATAATCTGTCATTTATTTAGCATTATTCCTGTTTTTTATTATTTTATACAAACAACATGTCTTTTTTTTTTTTAGATTTAAAAACACCTTCGTACAGCAGAAACAGACACGATGGATCCATGGAAAACAACAGAAAGGCAGCGCCCGGAGCATCAGATGCATGCAGGGTTTCATGCATTTGGCTGCTGCCTGTTTGTAATTTGTATTTATTTTTTTTAACGTCAAAACAGACATGACCGTTGCTGTCACTCAGGCACTCCAGAGCTGCTTGCTAAGGAGATATTGCCCTCCAGCTGAGTATCTCCACATGTTGCTGCAGTCAGGAAGAGGTAGTGTCCACCCAGAAAGGAGAGGGGAGAACAGGATGGGAGATAGAAGGAAATAAAGCCAAACATTAGCTGTACACAATTAATACAACACATTTTCTACAGGCTAATTACTTGGTGCAGGCAGAAACCCTTCCTAACAGAACCCAGACTGAGGCTCGTGAGGAGAGCCCTGAAGACAAGACACACACACTTTCCCTTCCAGGTGGCTGCATGTGCCAATGAAAATGAACTACTTGCTAAAATCAATTGCTTACTTGATTGGGGCAGACCTGGGCCCATTATCTAACAGTGATGTCCCCAGAAGTTGAAGAAGTTTCCCAAGGGGTGATCAAAGGCTCTGGTCCTAAGGCAGTTTCTGCGTCTTCAGTAATTTTGTCTCTGAATGTTCTTAATATTTAAACAAACGTATGAGCTTTTCTGCAGTTTTGCAAAGTTGTAACTCTAGTGACAGCTTTTAGCAAAGGCTCCTCGTGGCTAATCTTCTTGTGTCAAATTACTGGATTTACTCTGATCAGTTTTAAGTTTGGATTTTTTTCACATTTGTTTAGCATTGTCCTGCCATGAAAGTGTAGCCAAAATCTTCTTTCTTAGCTTGCAAATCTCTGCTGCAAACTCTCTTATTAGTCTGCTCCCTTCTTGGTTCCTACTCTCGTCTTACACGGAAGTCCTCTGATTAACCTCAAACTTCTTTTACAGCTGCAGTTTCCTTTTAAGATGACTTTCTCAAAACTGAACTCTGCCTTCCAGGCGAGAACAAACCACTGATTTCTATTTAATTCAACTCATTCCTTCCTCATCCTTACCCTTTACTGCACATGGGCCAACACTGCTCCCAAATCATTCAGTGTGTTCAGATGGGGGCTGCCCACACTGACCCCACTTATAATTGCATGTGGTTACACCACCTTTAGAATCCAGAAATGCATGCAAATATTTCAACTTCAATTTAGTTTATAGTCTTTTTCAAATATTGTTTTAACCAACATTTTGTGGTTTGGAAATGGCTTCTGCTCTGCAGTTTTCAGAAACGCTTCAACACATAACTTTTGGATGAGGTGCAACATTTCAGCCGCCAAGTCAAGGAAACATACCTCATCTATAGCAGCTAAGACTCTCCATTCCTAAGCTTCCTCAGAGCTCCTAGGCATAGCCTAGGCATAGCCACTGAGCCATACCAATCTTTAATTTAATAATTTCTTCTGCATCTTTTTTCGACTAAATCCAGGACAGAAGTTTACCTCAACATCTCTGATGAAAACTGATGCAAGTAAGTTTTTTTTGGTTTCCCTGCAAAGGCTTTAACCTTCTCACTGCCTGGAAATTCAGCTAATTATCCATCTCTCTTGAAAGCTTCCCTGCTTCTGGTGCCCCCAACTGGCTTTTGCTTTTCAAATTCCATCTGTGACCTCTGCAGTTTGCTTGTGATAGTTCACATTCCTTTTCCATTGCCTTCAGTAGGGTTGAATCCCTCACAACACAGAAGAATAAAAACTGCTCTTGGCTTAGTAGTACAAGTAGTACACAAGACTAGGACTCAAACAGTAACTTTACTTGAGTAGTTCATCCTCAAATGGCCACATTAGAAAAGCTTTTCTCCCAGGTGTAGATGTTTTTTGTGTTTGTGCTTAAACAGAAAGACCTTAGTAAAAAGGTCCTAAGATTAGGAAACTTAGATCTTTAAAATAAATGTGACATACACTTCATCATAAAACCAGAGGAGGAAGAAAGACTGTACATCTAGTTAAAATAAACCAGTAAGCAATAAACTAGAATGCCTAAATGCTGCAGAGGTAAATGGATCTGCTGTCCTTCAGGAGCAAGCAACAAGTTTTTTCATGTCCAATTTTATAATTGAAGTTTCCTCCAATGCTGAATTGTCATAGGCTAACTGGGGGATATTTTAAATCTTCTGATATTATTATTTATTTAGATTTTTTTCCCCCCCTTGAGTTTTTTTCCACATTGTACACTAAATAGCTTCTGCTCATCAGAAAATCAGTAGTAAAATTTATAGGACTAAATCTTTACCCTTATGGAACAGAAATTGTTCTGTGTATATTTTACAATATCCTCTCTAGAATATGACATTCTCATCAGAAAAGTTCTCCAAAATCACCCCAGCATGTAAAGGTAGATCCCTGATAGCTGGGAAACAGCAAACCTGTGCACAGCATGAGATACTCTTTCTCTCTGCTCTGGATTAGCACTCTGTCCGAGCACAGACCTGAGTACCTGGGAGGAAGCACTGCTGCTACAAGGGTAGCTATACTCAGGAACAACCGTCTGGCACATGACTCCAGTTTGTCAGGAGTGGCAGATAATCCTACTGAGTCCAGAGGACAGGGCTTAGAGAAAAGAACACCAACTGATCAGCAGAAGATTTAAGCTTATAGACAACTAAAAATGGTTCTCTCACAGCCAGCTAAACAGCCTTGAATACTGAATTCCCACATACAGCAGCCTTAGCTGTGTGTATGATATACTCCTTCCCTGATAGCCCATACCCGTATTTGATCCTCACTGGAGAGGTGCTGCAGGAGCTCCAGAGCAGTGGTAGTGGACATTCAGCCACTTGCCATCTCGGCGGTGCCAGACGCGGGTCTCTTCAGACTGCGTGGTGCGGGGCCGGCCTTGGCCATCGATGTACTGTGTCAGGCGGATGTATGCGATGCAGGCAGCATCTTCGCCAATGACATGGACGTGGGGGTTCAGGATGGTGGTGTGTATTGGCTTGCTGTTCTTTGACAGTACTGGCAGAACATGCAAAACCATCAGCTTCATTTTATTACTAAGGAGGAACAGCACCCCACATTCTCCAACCTCTTTTATATTGCACTCACCTTCCACTGGATTCTGGGATACAATAAAAATTGCTCCTGCAATTTTCCAGGCAAAATCCAAGCAAATCTTTCCCCTATCACCTGTTCTTCTCCTTAGGAAATGTGTGCTTATTATTGCCTAGAATCCCCTGGTCCCTTCGCTCCCACTTCTTCTGCAAAGCATACTTGCCACTTTTTCAACATCAGTGCTGCTGTTTCTTCAATTATAGGAAAAGATCTTTTATTACATGATATTGTTGCAAAGGAGTCAATAATCAGTAGATCTTTAAGCTAGGTCTGCATGAAATATGAACAAGCCTCAGAGAAGTGTAAAAATCACTCCAGAACAGGCTTTTGACAGAGACAGTCTTTGCATCCTTAGAGCACTAGGACCTTGACCTAACCTCCAAAATAAAACAAATTGAATAGCTCAGTATTTAAATTTCAATTATCTCACCCTGTGGAGACATCCAGGAAGGGAGGCAAATTCACTAGTATAAATGATAGCATTTCTCCCAACTCTTTTTCCTGCACCAGGCTGACAAGGTGACCCTTGTATCCATGTAATGGGTTCATTACATGTTAGAGAGCTGAAACCGTCCAGGGAAAACTCAAAGCAAAGGTGTGACTGATTTGTGCGTGACTATCTTTATGTCTGACCATTCAGTATGTCTACCCCAAACATACATGTTGTTTCCATCAAAATATGCTCATTTTTTCCATTTCCATATGAGTAGGAAATCAGGTGCCTCAAACTTTTAAAGCTCCTGCAGTCCATGCTTACAAAATATTTGCACCAGGCAAATTGTGTGCCTATAGTGAAGGGATCTGGGGGTCAGAATTGAAATTGTTGCTGAAAAAGGCTTTTGGGAGAAAGCGTGCTGGCTCTAACAAATGCATCATAACCCATGCACAATCAAGTTCTTGCTGGTTCCAATAGCCAGTAAAAACAAGGGCAATTTTCCCCCAAAATGTGGCATAAAGGAAAATTAGAGAGAAAGCTGCTGGTGTTACCAAATCTTCCCACTCACAGTTCTCGAAGTAAAACTTATGGAAATCCATTCCTTCAACCAGGTTCCCCAGTGCTTCAGGTTCGAATGAGGTCAAGCCAGGATCACAGATTTTTCTGCAAAGAAAAGCACCACAGGATTACAGTCTGCATTTGAGATCAAGGGCTATTTACACAATGAAGCAGTGGTACAACATTTGACTCGCACCCTGTGTCCACCTAACTATTTCTCCTACTCCAAGGAGTAAGCTCCTGGAGGACTCAATCCTACTGCAACAACACGAAGTTGGTGCTAGTTGGCATTTCACATAAAACAAGCCTCTAGGTTTCTCACTTTTCTTTTATACTCTTTCTGCCCATCTCATTGCCTTCCCCGCTACTTTTCCTACAAAGCCAGGACATTTTCCTTTTGTCACTCCTGTTGCTGTTTGATACCTGACTTGTACCTGATGGTCATTTGGAGAGCTCTACCATATCCCTACTCCTAACTGATGGAGGCTAAAAAGCATAAAACTTTTTACCATCCTGACTGCATGACAACTCCTCATATCCAAGAGCCAGAACATCACTTGCACACAAACTGATAAACAACCTGTCAAAAGACATCTGTACTTACGTATAAGCCTCAAAGTCTCCGTTGTTGATGGCTTCTATCAGCTGCTCTGTTATCTTAATGATCTCTTGCTTACGCACTGCAAAGAAGAAGAATAAAGAGCAATTTAACTGTGCATAAGACTTCAATGGGAATATGGGGCTACTGGGTACTTCCTACAAGCAATTTGTGGAGCACCATTAGTCTAGATCTCATCGGATGCTGCTGCCTGCATTCTGTAAATATGCAGTAATGACAGCCATCCACATGAGAGTAGGGGGGGCAGTGGTATGAAAGGGGAATGGTGATCCCACAATGCAGGGAGAAAGGAAATAAAGATGTCCTATTAATTTTTTTTTTCTTCTAGAAAGTTCTAAGGCACCAGAGGTGTCTGCTGAATGACAGCCTGAGGTGCTTCTGGGGAGTCTGACCAATGAACATCAGTGAACCTGCCACTGTGAAGCACTTGTCTGGCAGCTTAAGATGTGGAAACCCTTCACCACGGTAGTCAGATACAAATGGCCACCACACAGAGCAAGCCAATTTGAAAAAGTCTCCCAACAACTTGCCTGTCACCGTCACCAATACCTCAGCTATTACGAATGCTGCAAAGAAGCAACTGGGACACGTAGGGATGACTTCCACAAGCTAGAAAGACAATCGCAGTAGGATGGATGGGTTGGATGAGCATGTCCTAGCTATATACTGGTGCACACTCTGTTCCTCAGGCAGTTAGCTTCTGCCAATCCCTACGGCACAATTACTTTCAGCACTTTGACAGTACTGCCATTAACCCAACCCAGCACACTGGACTTCAAGATCAATGAAGACAGGGGCTAGCTGCCTACTGTTATTTGGCCCCTCTCAGGCCAGCACCTCTGCACTTTGTTCTCTTGGCTTGCCACAGCTGGTTGCCCAGACTCCATCCCCTCTGAGGTGTACCATCACCCATGCTGATCTCAAGAGTTCTTAACACTTGAAAAGTTTGGGTCGGCTCTGTTAAATAACACAATTCTAGTTCTACAGCTATATGTGCACCATATATATGCCTGAGCCTACAGGCACACCCTCACATCTCTTCAGCCTTCCCCACACTTTCCCTGTAGGTAGACTATCCTGCATATTATACAAGCATTTAGGAGATGCTCTAGCATTATCTTCAATATTACCAAATAATTTACAATTCCTATCACCAGAAGTGGAATTTATCTGCCCTTAGGCATCTAAACTGTAGGTTGAAATGGAACCAGTCACCTGACTGCTCTTCCTTTCAGCCCGGAAAGAAATGGGCACTTTGGGACGTCTCACCTGAGGCATCTCAGATGCCTATCATTAGGGGGACGGTGTTTAAATCCAACCTACCACCTTTAGATGTCCAAGTAGGGGAAGGTGAATTCCACTCTAAATGATAAAAGATGCTAGTCTGAACTGCCCTCCCCTGTAAACTTTAATCCACATGTTGTCTCATCCCACCATTGATAAGTGCAGCTGAAGAGCAACAAGATGATAATCTCATTGGCTATGAACATGAAAGATGTCTGCACTCACTCTGGAAATCAATGAAGAGAATTATACTACCCGGCCAGCCACAGAAACATCTCAGAGAGGGGATAACTGGCTTGTAACAGTAAGGGAGCTGGTTTTGCCACTCAGGCTGTACCCATTTCCACACATCAAAAGATGTATACAAGGAATGGATCAAAACGACACAGTGGGCTATGTCTACTGTGACAAATGTCCTTACAAGCAAGTAATCTGGAATCGCTTCTGCATGAAGCAGGGCTACTTGTTGGACCTCCCTCCCATGCAGAGCACACACCAATGTGTGCACCGTCTCGAAGATGGGAGTCCCTGAGAAAAGCTCCACTTGGGATGAGTGAGGAAGTCTGCACACCACAGCCACCATGTGCTGACTCATCTCCAGGAGATTTGCAGCCCCTTCCCAAGAGTCACTATGCAGCAGCATCGACCCTGTCCTTCAACACAAGTCCCGTCCATCAGACTGTGCTCGTCTTCTTGCTTTTACTACATGTCCCCAGCTACAACCAGCACACAGGAGGTGACCCCATTTTTTTCCGAAGGACAGAGAGCCTCAGGATGCCACTGGGGAAGTCATTCGCCTGCCGCCCCTTATGAATTCACGGGCCCTCCTAACACTGCAGAGAGGCACAAAGGGAGGCCAGCACGCACCAGCACGGAGACAAAAGGTGTGACTCGCGGCTATTCTGCTGTCTTTTT